CTGTGTGTCCAGGTGTTTAGAAGCAGAAAAAAACACACAGCTAGCACATCCAGGAGCAGTAATGTTTTGACAGAAAAAAACACTTGACAGGTGTAAATGCACAGTACGTTAAGTGTTTGAACATTAATTCATTTCAATGGCCAGAATAAATTATTCCGGCCAATGAAATTAACTTCCAAGCACTTGATGTGCCTAAATGTGTTAGATGGGCTTACAGGCGTCATGCATTTTTTTTTTTCTCGTTTTCTGCCCGGACACTGCTGCCAGAAAGAAGGCGTCTAGGAGAGATTGCAAATTATTCAGTGTACATAAGCCCCTTTTATGCAGGGAGGTGCTTCTAGAAGCATTGAAGCCTGTCACAGCCAGGTAACTGCTATTTTCAGAAGATCAGCACAATTGATCTTCTTGACATAACTTGACTGATCTGTAATAGACTCTGTGGAGCCAAAATATAAAGCCAAAGTTTTTATATTCCATACAGGGACACATTTAGAGACAATTCTAATATGTCCGACTGATGTCTGAAACCCAAACCTTTTTACTCATAACTTCAGATTTTCAGCACTGACTGTATATGAAAAAGTGAATGACACCGTAAGTTGCATGATGTCCCTGGTAAGTGGCCTGTAGTTGTCAATGCTGATTGCTGGACATCCAGAGTAAACAGTGTTTTACTTTTATTGGTGTGCTTTATTGCTCTTTCATGTTCCTAGAGTATTCTGGGGTCAGGTTCCACTTTGTCATTGCATTGAGTGATAACTCTTCTTTACCACCCCAGACAGCATCTGATTGGATTAGATGCTGCATTTCGACTGGTTGAGGAATAAATGGGACGAGGTACTGTCAGCCCTTTAGTTTATGGGTTTTGCAACCAGAATTACACTGTAATGGGGATGCATAATTCACACGTGAGCATGCATGTGTTCAAAGGCCCCCGTTTTATAGTATCTCCAAATGGCATACTGCTTTACAAATGTGGCTCATTAACACAAGATCTATCTTGGTGTTTGGGTGCCCTCTTAGAGTACATAGGAGAGGATGAGTGCTGTGAGTCACTTAAGGAGAATGAATGACTCAGTATGACAAATCATTCCTTCCAAGTTATAGGAACTGTTCCACAGGAAGAGTCCAATGCAGCAGTCCAATAATCACATATAGTAACATGTCTCTGCCAAGTCTGATTGTATCCAGACTAATGTTACATTGTAATACAAACTATTCCAGGAGTGGCTATGCTGACTATTTGTCTGCAATTGTTGGTGCTCCAGGTGCTGTTCTAGACATCAAATTTCATAATATTCACTACTGATTACTTTTCAGTATCGCCAGTTTTACTCTGCATCATACTTCATCTGTGTGGTTCTCGGAAATGTATACCCTTATTACCATCATTTTGTTTATTTTATCACTATGATCATGTTCATCACGTGACTGTAATCTGTTTTATTTCCCTCCTAAAATTTTACAGAAACACCACATGTTGTTATTGAATAAATACATCCAAACCTTTGTGCCAATATCATGAACTACCACTAGTTCTTCAGGGTTTCTGCTTTCAGAAAACATAAAATGTTTTGGGTTTTATGCAGTCTCGTGTGTGTGTGTGTGTGTGTGTGTGTGTGTGTCTGTGTGTCAGTCAGGTGGATTTGATTTAAATCACTAGTCAGGCTTGATTTAAATCATAGTTTTCTACATAAAGACTAATTATTGCTGGTATAACTTTAATATGCAAGTAGATGAAGATTTTTAGAATAACAACTTTTCATATTAGTTTTTTATCCCCAGTTTAATAGGTTAATCATTCATATTTGGACAACTTTTCTGTTGTACTTAGGAAGGAGAAAAATAATCATTACCTTAATAATAACAATTTAAGTAGATTTATTCAACTGAAACAAGAACATTACAGCATATGTTATTTGCTTAAACAAACATCCATGTTTTTAACTAATTTGGCTAAACAAAATATATATATTTTAAGAAACTTAGACTGTCTGTCCCCCGTTCCTCCTCACACTTAGTTTCACTTTCTTCTTGTGCAGATCTATTCCACTCCAAACAATCAGAAAAATATTGTTTCTATTCAATGAACTTCTTGAAACTTAGCACTGAAGGGGTTGATTCTGTATTCATAGGTTTGTAGAAGTTAGGATTAACGTCTTTTTCTTAACTCTGTTCATATTATAACATTTTTGCTATGAAGAAGAGGCATGTGATCTCCGCTGAGTCAAATTCAGTTTTGAGAACTGCAAAAGTAAACCGAGCATCTGTGATAATATCTTGTAGGCAGAGAAACTGCCCAATAATCTTACATGACATTGTGAATGGATTAATGGCATTTACTTACCCCAAAAATTAAACATATACAGCCTTATTCTACATAATTAAAAAATTAATCTTTATTTCATGATGGAATAATCTTTGGATGGTAATATATTTTCCTCAAAAAGCATTTTATTTAAAAAAAAATCGATTTTAAATCAAAAAAATCATTTTTTTTTTTTTTTTTTTTTTATCATTGATTTTTATCCACCCTGATATGTGTGTGTGTGTGTATATATGTGTGTGTGTGTGTATGTGTGTGTGTGTGTGTGTGTGTGTGTATATATATATATATATATATGTGTGTGTGTGTGTGTATATATATATATATATATATATATATATATATATGTATATATATATATATATATATATATATATATATATAATAAAAAAAATGTATGTGTGTGTGTGTATATATTTTAAAAAAAAAATTTTTTTATCTCAAGAAAAAAACGTCTCTGGCAGTGAAAGCGTTAAACATACTGAACTTCTGTTGCAGAATGCCATCATTTTATGAAAACATACTATTTTCTGCACATCTGCCTCTCTTGAGGCATTGGTGACATAGCCAGTCCCCCTCCAGCTGCCTCCTAGGAGGGTTACAGTGTATATGAAAAGTCTACACACCCCTGTTATAATGTCAGGTTTCTGTGATGTGAAAAAAATGAGACTAAGATAAATGATTTCATAACTGTTTCCACCTTTAATGTGACCTATAAGCTGTACAACTCAATTGAAAAACAAACTGAAATCTTCTAGGAGGGGAATTAAACATAAAAAAATAAAATAATGTGGTTGCATAAGTGTGCACACCCTCTTAAAGTAGGAGTCAGTACACACCTGCCATCATTTAAAGTGCCTCTGATTAACCCCAAATAAAGTTCAGCTGTTCTAGTAGGTCTTTCCTGACATTTTCTTAGTCACATCCTACAGCAAAAGTCATGGTCCACAGAGAGCTTCCAAAGCATCAGAGAGGATCTCATTGTTAAAAGGTGTCAGTCTGGAGAAGGGTACAAAAGGCATTACATATACTATGGAACACAGTGTAGACAGTCATCATCAAGTGGAGAAAATATGGCACAACAGTGACATTACCAAGAACAGGACATCCCTCCAAAATTGATGAAAAGACGAGAAGAAAACTGGTCTGGGAGGCTGCCAAGAGGCCTACAGCAACATTAAAGGAGCTGCAGGAATATCTGGCAAGTACTGGCTGTGTGGTACATGTGACAACAATCTCCCGTATTCTTCACATATCTGGGCTATGGGCTAGAGTGGCAAGAAAGAAGCCTTTTCTTCCAAACATCCAAGCCTGGCTAAATTTTGCAAAAACACACCTGAAGTCTTCCAAAAGCATGTGGGAATATGTGTTATGGCCTGATGAAACCAAGGTTGGACTTTTTGGTCATAATTCCAAAAGATATGTTTAGCACAAAAAGAACACTGCACGTCACCAAGAGAACACCATACCCACAGTGAAGTACGGTGGTGGCAGCATCATGCTTTGGGGCTGTTTTTCTTCAGCTGGAACTGGGGCCTTAGTCAAGGTAGAGGGAATTATGAACAGTTCCAAATACCAGTCAATATTGGCACAAAACCCTCAGGCTTCTACTAGAAAGCTGAACATGAAAAGGAACTTCATCTTTCAGCATGACAACAACCCAAAGCATACATCCAAATCAACAAAGGAATGGCCTCACCAGAAGAAGATGAAAGTTTTGGAATGGCCCAGACTTGAATCTAATCGAAAATCTGTGTTGTGATCTGAAGAGGGCTGTGCACAAGAGATGCCCTCGCAATCTGACAGATTTGCAGTGTTTTTGCAAGGAAGATTGCCAAGTCAAGATGTGCCATGCTGATAGACTCCTATCCAAAAAGACTGAGTGCTGGAATAAAATCAAAAGGTGCTTCAACAAAGTATTCGTTTAAGGGTGTGCACACTTATGCAACTGTATTATTTTCGTTTTTTATTTTTACTTCCCTCCACCTAAAAGATTTCAGTTTGTTGTTCAACTGAGTTGTACAGTTTATAGGTCACATTAAAGGTAGAAAAAGTTCTGAAATTATTTCTTTGTCTCATTCTTTTATATCACAGAAACCTGACATTTTAACGGGTGTGTAGGCTTTTTATATCCACTGTATATCACCAGGGAGCTCTCATATCTGATCTTCAAGATCTTGGGAGGCAAAAATAAATAATTGGACTCTCTGTAGGATTTGATTTCATAAAACCTTGCAAGATCTTGGATTTAGAATAATCTTCATTTTTCAGATGTCACTGGTGGGCAGGCCCAGATAAAAAGGAAGAAAAGACCACCAGAGCAATGGATTTCACAACTTGAACATGTTGTGTATATTCATTCAATTGGTGTTGGTGTTGAAAAGAGGGGGGGGGGGGGGGGGTTCTGCTTTAAGCTAATATCACCATGTTTCATTTGCCCAAGAAGATGGGCATCACAAGCTTGCCTGCTTTATAGGGGTATTGGTAGAATAAAAGCCATTCCAGCTGTTGAGTTTGGAGGAACCAGCTATTGCTTTGTGTTGCGTTTTAGATGATTGCAGGTGTACTTTAACTTTTAGGTGAATGTAGTGTCATTCTGCAGATATGTGCTCCATACAGTGTCACTTTCCTGTAGATAATAATGTATCTGTCTTGTGTTTACAGAATCACCACCATGGGAGAATACAACGAGAAGAAAGAGACTTGTGGAACAATATGTCTGAAGTACCTCCTCTTCACCTTCAACTTCTTTTTCTGGGTAAGTCATTATGAGACTTTTTTTTTTTAACTAGATTCACCTAACTAGATAATACATTATGCCCCAGAATTGCCATGTAAGTGATCCGGAAGCAGCTTCCTGTCATTATATAGTCATGTAGACTGACTGCACACTGGGCTGATGATACCTCTGCATCCAGTCTAGCACACGAGTATTGTACAGAGGTCATTGTTGGTAAAATAAGATTGCATAATTGTGATTTAATGTATGTGGAGTCTTAGTCGATTACTTGTGGTGTTTTTTTTTTTTTTTTTTTTTTTAAAGAAAATGTGGGAAACCAGAAGGTTGAGGGTTGTGCATTCTGTTCCTGTTGTAGACAGTGTAGTTCAGTATTTATGGTTGAAGTACCTTTTTATAAAGGTTTTACTGCAATTGTACTATATTTTAAAAATGTGGTTTATAATATGACCTCTGGCCCTAATAATATGAACAAAAAAAAAAAAAGGTAGGCAGACTTTCCTTATCAAGTTTGTGGAAAGTCTGTCTGTCTAAAAGTATTTTAGAGGGAGGTTTTCTGAGAGTACTACTTAGGAGGTCATTGCTGTCTTTGTCTTCTGCAAGACACTCAGGCTTGGTTTACACCTACAGTTCATTAAGTGAATGTTGCCGCCCTGTATCTGTATGTAATGCACACAGTTGAGTGCGCAGTGGTACAGGCTTTGAGTGTTAAAATAGGTGTTCATGAAGTGACATATTGTCTCTAAGTTGCTTGTTAACTGCCATCTAAAAGCAATCCACCGCCTTGATGTGCACCACAGATCACTTTTCAGAGGAGCAACAAGCTACCACAAATGTGAACAAGCCCAAAAAAAAAAGGCCAAATCAATCCTTGCTTGTCTTTACGGTGGGCTCCTAAAGAGCTCCATTGTGTTCTAGGCTCAGTTTGTACATTGAAACCTGCCCCTTGTCACTTAATTGTCAAATGCAAACATTTCAGTGGGCTTTATAGGCGTTGACGTGTAACCGTTACGCCCTGTACACATGGAGCAATGACGTGTGCCCAGTGTAATGCTGTCTTTTCCCGGCATGGGGATGGACAGGTGTTGCGCACATCCCTTTGCTGGCTTCCCATTGTTGTCTGTTGGGACATGTGTCTACGGTTCCCTGAATGCACACAGGGTGAGTTCGCTTACCCACACAGGGATGCACCCAACACCTCTCCATTCCCATGATGGGAAAAGACGCCCCATGTGAACAGGGCCTTAAACATTCCTTGTTGTAAATGGCTTTTAATACAAAGACTGTAATACTAGTGTTGACTTTTTTTTTTTTTTTTTTTTTTTTCCTTTTTTGCAGCAAAATTGGAATATAACCTACATTATATTTGATACATGTTCCCATTCACATATTTGCTGTTTACATTTAACGTTTCTGAAAAATTAAAAACTGAAGTTTTTTTTTTCCTTTTTGCTATGTAATGTTAAGACAGAGGTTGGTGATTTAATGTTGAAAAATCCTGACTGTTCTGTGCTGTGCTGGCAGATCTCATTATCAGTTGTAAACTAGATTTGAGCACTGTCTTAGCAGAGCGCTAAAGATTTGAAAGCTGGGCTTCTGCATTCTACCGAGGGGAAACTCTGTGTATCCCTAGTCTTTGTCTGGGAACAGGCTCCCTTTGAAACTGTTCTGAGTATCTTGCAGTCTGCTCACAGGCCTGCTGCAAAGAAAAAAATGAAAGATATTAAATATTTTTTTAAAAACATATAGATTACCTATTCTGTGTGAAGAGGAACACAATTTTATAGAGGGTTTTTCTCTGATTTGACTACAAACAGAAATGCATGTTAATCTCTACTTGGGCATCAGCTTTCTGCTTTTCTGATTGTGTAAGTATTGAATATATTAAAATGACAGCATTGTGCAATGCAGCTCTTCTGTGTATGACAATCGCATACTTATTCTAGTCCTATGGTAAATAGCATTTTTTTATGATTGAATACCTGGAGTAAATGGTATTTATATATATATATGCCTCTTACGTTTTAATATATCTGGCATAATACTGTTGACCAATTTTTTACACCATTATTTGTTTTCAAAACAGCCTGTGATTGTCTGTTTTAAACGTAACTGAGTATTTAAAACCAAGCTGTGTACATATGGGGTAAAAACCAGTCCTAACTAATAAAAATTGCAGTTTTGTTATTGGTGAGATCTGATCTAAGGGGATGGGGCAGATGCAAGTACACAAGTACTACACTTGGCTCATCCCAATGCCCAGCTCTGTAGGTTCTCAGGTAAGTGACCATAGGTTTAATATCCAGAACCCAGATTCCTCTCTTGTTCATGTTTCCCCTTGTTCTGCTTCTGTTTACAGCTGGCTGGGCTGGCTGTAATGGCTGTAGGGGTTTGGACGCTGGTCCAGAAAAGTGACTACATCAGTCTGCTACCCTCAAGCACCTACGCTGCCACAGCTTACATCCTGGTTGTTGCAGGCGGCATTGTGATGGTTACTGGTATTCTTGGCTGCTGTGCAACCTTTAAGGAGAGGAAGAGCCTGCTGAAAGTTGTAAGTTTTCTTGTGTGTGTGTATTAAACCACATCTTTTAAAAATGTGCTGTATTTATTAGATTTGTTATTGATTGTATCTTAAGTTCTAATCCAATCAACCATTTTGCTACAGTTTTATGATGTTTTAGATAACCTGTATTTAATTCTGAAACTGAATCCCCAGACAACGTTTTGGACAGGGTAGGAGAAAGGCCAGAACCGGTGTAAGGTTTAATAGTTATGTGTGGGCCTGCCAGGGAAATTTCTCGTTGCCTCCATTCCAGGTAGCAGTGATGTGACAGACAGGAAGTGGGTGAAAACTCTTTACTGAGCAATGAAAATTGACAAAGGTTCTATGTTTTTCTCCCTCTACTTAAAAGAAAAAAAAAAAGTTTTTTTTTTTTTTTATTGCTGTCATGTCCCTGGCAGAGATATTTACCCTCACTCCCTACCCACTTAAACTGGATATGAGGGGGAACATCAATTTTGGAGCTGTAGTTACTATAGAAGGTTTGTATGAATCTGTTCAATGTGAAATATTTTATACGTCACTCCAGGTGAGATCAGGCTCCAATCATATTTCAGGTGCTGGCTTGGCATGTCTCCACCAAAGCAATCGTTCCAGCAACAGGAATGCTGCACACGGAGATGCAAAATAACATTAAAGCACTGTGCCTACCGCAAAACATGTTTGTATAGAACATGTTCCTGCTGGTTATTTTAATAAAGGAAGAATTTTATTTTCCTTCTTGGTGTGCGGCCTTCCTGTTGCTGGTGCAATTGATAAGGTTTGTGTCTGTGGTCATCCTAGAAAATGTCATTATGGTTCCCATATTTTGAACCAGTGTGCTCTGTGGGAAATGTTCAAATGCTGAGTGTTCCCTGTGGGTAGTTTAGCCTCAGCTGTATCTACAGACACCAAGGACCATCGAGAAGGGATGTAGACACAACTGTGGAGACAAGCATTGTTTGAACATTGAGTTTGTATGCAAGCTGAGAAGGCAGTTAGTATTGTTTACTAAGTTTAGAAGTATTTGTATTGTAAGAGTCTATCACAGTTGTCAGAAAAGTGTAGTCAGGCATTAAATTTGACCTTTCACTATAATTTAAAGGCAAGCTTAATAAAGTCCTCTCCCCAAAACTAACTGTTCTTGGTGGTGTCTAGGGGAGGGTAACATCATCCTTCTGGTAAAATCCCAGGGAATGTGGAGTCTTCCAGATCTTGCAAAAAAGGCACTGTCCCTCTTTGCTGCATTTTGTTCCTGTGAGTTTTTCAGGTATTTTCCACCATCTCTCAGGAAAGAGCATATTTTTCCCCTATAGTACAGAAACTAGGGGTAAGGCAAGTATACATGTGAATTTAGCTAAAAGATACTATTTGGGATGGGGAATGGACACTGAAATAATAACCAGAACTTGCATGTTAATGCTCTGTTTGATTAAAACCTTAGTTGGGTTTTTATTTTTTTTCTTTCTTTATGGGGGAGGTTTACCCTCAGATTTCAGGGCATTTCCTGCCTCAGTGCCCACCCTAACTGGAACAGGAAATGACAGGAAAACTATCCAATGGAGACACAAACAGCAAAAATAAAAACATTTTGATAAAACAGTGGGGATGGTTTGGAACCTTTTGTCTGGTTTTCATTGATACCCATTTACTGACTGAGAGATTTCCCATTACTTCCTTCACAGCATGCTGCATTGGAAACTATAGTTTAGGACCACATCATAATGTTTGCACTTACAGTAATATTTTGTGCATTTGCCTGCACCTTGAGTTCCTCTTTAAAGTCTAGTTTTATGTAATTTAAAAAAAAAAAAAAAATCAGCACAATGGTACAGTAGTATAAGTGTCCCTTGTGTTTGGTGCCGAAGTCGTCGTCCTTTTCACATCCCCGCGTCTGTAATCTTCTGGTGCTGTTTCTCCTGTGTAGGCCCTTGTTGCCCTTTCCTCCTCTATTCATAGAAGCTGTACTATAGCCTTCATGAATGAAAATATGAATTGAGGATGTGCCGATGAATTGAAAGGTCCACCACCTCCATTTATAGAGCTTTAGCCAGTCATTGAGGCTTCAGCACAGCTTCTCTGAATGGAGGGGGGTAGAAAGGGCTGGCAAAGTTGACATTTTTGACAAGTGCCTGTGACACGTCCTGTGCTTGTATTCACCTCCACAGCACCTGAAGCTGGGTTATGGAGTGGGGGCAGAGGACTTCACATTTCAAACAGGACAGGCAGCACCAGCAATAAGAGACACTTTTCACTGAAGGAAAGTGCTGTCTCTTGTGCTTTTTTTCCAAAGGAAAGTTTTTCCCTGTTTTAATGGAACAATATTTTCACAGATCTAGATCACTGTGTCATAGCAACGTACATTGTGATCTAGAAAGCTGGTGTTTACATAGGTGTACATCTAAGAGAGTGTGTTTGTATTAGTCTCTCTTGGGCAGTTCCCTGTAATGCTGGTGTAATGTCAGGAATGTGAGTTGGGATCTCTCCTCCCTAAGGAGAACCATTTATCTTTAGGAAAGATTTCTTGTTACAGCTTATCACAGTGCCATCTGCTGGTGACATCTAAAATTGTGGTTTTACATTCCGTGCACTGCTCAGAGTTCTCTTTGTGTTGCAGCAAGAACAGGTTCTTCTGGTTATCTTCACCAAGTGGTACATTACATAGTGTCCATTCAGCAACAATGGGTGGGGTTGGTGATGTCCAATGCATAAGGATTAACATAGGAGCTTGGAATAACACCCTCAAAATTACATCACTTAAGGGGATACCTATGAATTTCAATTTGAAACACTCCATTGAGAGTGCGGACAATTTTTCCCCAATAACATATCAATATTAGGCAGTTCCATAGCATCATGGTCCCTCGTGCAAACAGGATTTTGTCTTTTAGTATTGTTACATAGTCTTTTAATAGGAATTTGTTAGGAATTGTATATGTGAGACGTTTGCTCATACATAACCGTCATATATGATTTGAACTTTCTTCTGCCCTCAGTATTTCATCCTGCTGATGTGCATATTCATCCTGGAGATCTTGGCAGGAATCCTGGCCTATATATACTACCAACAGGTAGGTGGATGGGTTTTGGATGCAAATAAAACAGTTTCAGCCTCTTACTGAATACTGATGGATCACTAATATTGCAGGGATGTCATTTCCCTTACAACACCCTAAGTAACATCCAGTTTGTAAACAGGATGAACAAAGATGCTCCCAGGTATAGCCCCATTGGATTTGATAATGTATAGGCTGTTGTAATTATCCTTTCAAGATGAGCTTTGCCTGTTGTGTTATTCACCTCGATTATCATGTAGGAAGATTTATCTGCTGTATTTTTCACTAGTCCACTGTTGGAGGGGAACATCTACTGCTCTGTGTCTGTGGGATTCTGCATGTGCCTTTACTGAATAATAATACCACAATCTTGTTGTACTTTGTTTATTGGACAACTGGTAACACTGGAAAATTTCTGTTTAGTACTTTTTGTTTTTTGTTAATGGCTGATTCTTTCATATTGTGATACATTTGGTACTGCATTCTGTATTATGCATGCCTTAAACATTAATAAATAATATTTCTGATTTAAAAAAAGATGCACCCAGAGAGCAACGTAAAAAGATCTCTAAATCCAGGAATAAAAATATAGTTTGGCTTATCAGTCCTTGTAACTTTCCATGCACTGAACTGATATCTCAAACAATGTTATCAGCTTTCACAGCTGTCTTCTGTAAACTACATCCCCTAATGTAATGGTGAAGAGGAGGTGTTTGTAGTCCTAATCAGGAGAGTAGCCTAGGGTGACATTGCTCCTACACAGATATGCAGGCCATAGACTGGTCGTTAATCGGCCGAATGTTCGTCCACGCGAAAAATCAGCCGATAATCACATAGTTAGTGGGGCCAGCCCGTCAGCCGTTTTTCGCAGATCTCCTCTTTTATTTTTATCAGTCATGCTAGAAAATCCACGAAAAATGGCCATTTTTTGTGGACATTGGTGGCAGCATCGGCAATGGGACTGACCGATTTTTCGTTTATCGGCCGACAAACAGCCCGTCTATGGCCTGCCATGCAGTTCAAGGAAGTGCGTGTTGTCAACCTAGGACATGGAGCAAGCTAATGCAATCACCACATCCAAGGACTGGTAAGTTTGTGATATATTTGTTTGTTTTTGGGTTTAGCTATTCTTTAAATCAAATTGTATTAACTGAGGATACACCTTATTTTTCTGGGCAGAATCCCTACAGTAGGTGATGAGAATGTGTTCTGCAAAATCTGTTGTACACTGACTTATTTTGAATTCCTCATAATCAGTTCAATACAACGTTGAAATAGATACTGTATGTTTGTTTTACCTGCTTGAAGGATTTTGTAATTCTCTGCAGCCAAGTTTGATTCTTCTGCCAGCCAGCACAGCTACATCCTTGACCTCCACCACAGCTGCAGCATAACATGGTCAGGAGCACATCCAAGCAAATACCTGTCCTCGTGTACTTATGAGCTGTAAACGGGGAAAAAAAAAACCTTTTTAAAACATTAAATGTAAAATGTACTCCGAACATGGAGCTTGACATTGCTCTTGAAAAAGCTCGTTGCCTGGCTATCATGGTGATATATGGCTTCAATACTTTCTGAAGCACAGACCCTCTTTCATGATTAATCTAGATCAGTGACTGACAGCCAGGCCACTAAAATTCTTTTGAGAGACAGCAGTGGCAATCACTGCATTTCTATTAGTACAGGTTTCCATTCTGACTTTTTAAAAACAATTTCCAGTTTTTCTTAATTTTACATGTAAAATTTAAAAGGAAAAAAATATGCAGTGTCAATTTACCAGCTTGCTGATGCAGTGATCTCCCTGCAGGGGTCCAACACTCACCCAAAACCCCCCAGCGCAGGGTCACAGGCAGAGCACTAATTCAGCAAACGTTGTGCTTCTTGCTCATTTGAGAGCTCTAGCACTGACTTGGCATGAAGCAATGCAGTGCTAATTTAAATAAATGGCAGTGCATCAAACCAAATGCATGTAATGTGTTTTTTTGTGAATCATGCGTTACAGCAGTGACATGGTGTAAACAGGCCCTCCATTAAGGAACTGTGTGCAAGAATTATTTTTTCTTTTCCATGAAGTAGTGCAAAATGTTAAGGGTTATTTTGAACCCCATATAGTCCTACAGTAAACTGTGCCCATATTATGTATCTGGTTATTCTGTATGCGTTAGCAGTCCTTGCAATCTTCCTTCATTAATTGGAGGTTTCATTCCTGGCTCCAGACATCCCTAGGGCAGTGAGAGTCTAATTTTAGTTTCATTTGATTAAGTAAGAGGGCACATGTGACTGCATGCTCCTGCATGGTAAATCAGTAATTACTTGGAGCTTGATGTGCTCCACTGACTTCAGACTGCACTCCACCCATACCTGCCAGGAATTAGGAGGTGGTTGTCCTGTTAGAAATGCTTACTCAATTTGACTCTTGAATGTCATATTGATCTTTCTGTTTAAATTGGCTAAATGCATCCCAGGTTCATGTAGATACATAGTTAGTCTGGCTGAGAAAAGACAAAAGTGCACCCAGTTTAAACCATTATAAAAAAAAAAAAAAAAGTTATCCTATACCCACAGTTACCCCATAAAAACAAATGATGTGCAAAGTTACTGTTTGTTTTGTTGAAGAGCAGCCCCAGCCCAAGTAGAAAAGCCTGTTCCTTGCCAGCATGCTGCAGATAAGGACCCTTACTCTTTATGGAAGCAGTGGTCTTTCTGCAGAGATCAGATGCGACCACTGCTGAGTCACAGCAAGATTTCTCTAATCAGCAGCTTTCCTGATTGTGACTGAGCAGAGGGTGTGTTGGATGCACAGAGCTAGGGGTCCTTATTTACAGGATGCTGGCAGGACACAGGCTTGGCATTGGCTGCTTTCTAAACAAAACTAACTTTAGGACATTGCAAACCTTTTACAAAACAATCACTCCCAGCACTCATCAGTTCTCCACAATTTGATGAAACTCGAAAAGCAACAAGTCCATGAGTGTCTGGAATGCTTGGTGGATGCAGCCCTCCTCAGATGGGGGAATCCATTGCAAAAAGGGCAAACAGGGAGAGCGCAAGCACCTAGTGCATCACTAATGCTTTATTTGGGAACATAAAACATGCAAACAGATGGGTACTTACAAAGGTACAACGTATGGGAGTGTTTAGGGCCACAAGACACCATACAGTGCAGGATAAGCGTACTCCAATGACACCCCGCTAGGCTGGTGAGCTGACACATTTTGGGGGTGCACCCCCTTCTTCAGACCTATCCTTTTGTTTTAATGTACTTGGAATGTACTAATCTGATCTGGATTGCCAGTTAAAAATGGATTGAACTAGAAGTCCTATGCAAGTGTTATCATGAGAAATTGTGAAGCGCTAGTATTGGTGAGATGGGGTTCATCTCATTATATTTCCTTATAAATTTAATATAAAAGCAAGGCACGCCTGTCAGATTGTTTTATGTGGTTTGACTACTCCTATAGGCTACAGCATATTTGTAAAGTAAACCTGGCATCCCCATTACCCAATAAAACTAACATCAGCTGGTAGAGAGCCCTGGAAGCCTCAAAACAAGGGGTGCTCCAATATGCTAAAACTATTCAGGACACAAGGTGAGCCATGACCCTCTACGAGTTGCCACTTTCTCTTGGTTCCCCCAAACAAACAGAAGCCTCATTCACCATTATGAAAGTTTAGGAGGCCAGTTGGAGTTCCGTATTAGAGTAAGGTTATGAGGATCCCAAGGTGCCTGACAGCTGGCTAAAGAGATGTACCGACAACTGTAGGTGCCTGCTATACAAAAAATGTTAGCCTGTGTTCTTATTTGGCAGTTGTAACCGGATTACTTTCCACATGTAAATGCAGAGCAGTGTTACTGTGTTTGTACAACTGGATACCAATATATTGATTACAGTTTCTGTTCTTGGTATATTACCAAAGAACAGGCAGTAAAGATGGTAAAAGGAATTTCATTCTTGATTGCTTTTTATACTTATGCCTGTAAAAAAAAAAAAACGGTTTCTGCAGCTTTTAAAAAATCTATATTTGGAGCCCATGGCAGCGGATTTTATAAATTACAGACTTCTCTAGATTGCTGCGCAGCTAATTACTAAAATGTGATCTGATCTTCATTAGTCATAATAAAGACAATATTATCTAAAAACAAAATACACGGTTTATATTGGTGTATCATTATTGAACTGATAGTTGAAACAATCAAGTTACTTCATGGAAAGTGTATGTGATCCTCTATGATCGCAACACCATGTGACAGCAGGAGCTAGATATTCCATAGATTTGGGCTACTTTAGTTGAGGTTTCAGTACTGCTTCTCTTTTGCTCTTTCTTCCCTGTTTTTTTGTACAATAGAATTTGGGTTAATATGCATTGTGGCGTGATCCAGTTATTTTGGGGACTTCTAAAAGCTAATAAAACTGTAATGTGTTGCAAAAGGAATTCTAAAGACTTCAGCCATAGCTTAGAGAATGTAGTAATAATGCTGCTACTATCCTTATGAGGGAAATCCTACAGTGATTAGTATAAGGGCATACCATTCAGCCTTCAGACAAAAAGCGGAGAACCTTTTAGATGGGGAAAAAAAATTAAAATCTTAATGGCTATGAAACATGGTGGTGGGGGGAATATGGTAGCTGCTGCTTTTTCTGTCTCGTGTTGGATAGAAGACAGGAGTAAAGCTGGCCGTAGATGGATCGAAATTCGGCTAGTTCAGCAGTTCAACTTCTCATGAACGGGCTTACTGGAATATTTCTGTTCGTTCAGCACTGCAGAGCCGATCAGGGTATTCTGACAGTGGAGGAGTCCCTGCTGTCAGACTACAATAACACAGAAGGGAAGATTCCTCCATCCACCTCGCTTGTGTTCCATTTTTTTGATCAGCCTTCTGGTTGGTCATAAAAAAATGATTCACATACACCCAGCTTAACTCTCCCAACACAGTGGATAAAACAAAATTAATTCCACATTTAGAAAGACCAAGTTAATCCTTATTTCAGACCCATTCAAATGCATGTAAATGATTTGGCGCTGCGAAAGCAAGCAAGAAACCTTAAAATATACCCAATCCAGAGCTGTTTTGTGTGCATGATTGTACAAGAACAGCTTCATGTATGCCCGCATCTGATCTGCATCTACAGATAGCATTTTAGCAGATTTAATGTCAGTGGAGGCCCCTAGTTGCTAATTAGAAGGAAACTTTCACAAATGTTTATTCTTGTATGTACTAGTAATGAGATATATAGAGAGAGATATTATTTAGCACAGTCTTGTTTATAAGCGTATTGTTTGAATTAAATCTTTCCAGATGTGATGAACTGAGCTGCAGAACCGCCCCTCCTGAAGGAAGGCAATTGATCGGGCAAGGCTTTCTAATAGTTACTTTTCCCTCCAAGAATTCTCAGCCAAGCGCTTTTGCTGGTACTTGAGACATTTATTTGTCTTTGGGTGCTTTCAGAAGCCATGTGAGCAAAAAGCCATATTATGCAAAAAAAAGCCTGTAATGCCTGTAGCAGCCAGTAAGAATCCAGCCATCACTTTGTAAGCACAGGTTGAAATAAACGTGCCATGGACTTCTAGATAGTGGGAATGAGGAAAATAAGGACAAGTATGTTTCCATTTACCTATTTAGTTGTGAGAAGCAGCTCTGTTTGACTTGAAGTCTCAATTTACTGACGTTTAGCTCTGAGTAAGGGAATAGTTGCCACATCACCTGCCAAATCTTTTACCGAGATCCTTTCTCCTTCCCTTCCAACCTTGCATGCCGTGTGTGTATGTATACCTTTAAATACTTGTGCTTAACTCTTGCTGTGTCCCTGTCTTTCCTTCATGCCGCAGTGCGCTCCGTTCTGCTCACAGGTAACAAATCTTCCTTCCTGATTGGCTGCATCTCAGGCTCTGCTTCTGGAAGCATCCCCCAAATATTATTGCATGTCTTCTTAAAGCTCTAGCAATAAAGGTAGCAGATGGTGGCCACATTAACCCCAAAATAAGGTTTTGGGGGTTTTTTTCCACTTTACCCTGTCTGTTTGGGGTATTTTTAGTATGAAGGTTTGAGCTTTAGATATGTATTGATGTACCAATAGTATATTAAATGAGTAAGCAATGATCTTGACAAAAAATAGTTTTGGCTTGGTCTTTGGACACTATCAGTGAACTCCTAGGCTAAGTTCACACTTGCATCTAAACTGCCATGTCTCTGAAGAGCAACTGCGTTCCGATTGCTCTTCAGAGGTGATTAACAGTAAATTCCACACGCGGTTGTGGGACCTTTGCAGTGTATCCCCATTTGCTTGAATGGGTCATGTTTGGTAGCGGTACCGCCTGCCGAGTTTAAAACGCTAAAAATGCAGCTCAACTGTGCGTTGTTAAACACCCCCCTTCCCCCTCCTCCTTTCCAACTGCAAGTCTAAACAATCCATTTAAGTGAAAACAAGAGGTTCTAAGGAATTCTGGGTGTTGTGACAAGAGAGGCTGCTAAAAGCGGAGGGTTTCTAGATGAGACTGAGCCAAGTCTGTTTGTCTCGGCAGCTCAATGATGAACTGAAGCAAAGCTTAAAGGAAACCATGACTCAGAAGTACCAGCAGCCAGGAGAGGAAAAAGTGACGAATGCTGTGGACAAACTACAACAAGAGGTAGGGCCAGATTTCCTCTTCTGGTGCATTTACTGTTGACTTGGGCATTACATTGCAATAACTAGATTAGTAATTGGGTTTTAAAGAGAGAAAACTCTTGTGTATGTCTCATGCCAGCGTTATGTTTCTTTTCATATAGTTTAAATGTTGTGGAAGTAATAATTCCCAGGACTGGAAGGAGAGTATTTGGATTAAGTCTCCAGAGGCTGAGAGGCGCTTAGTTCCAGACAGCTGCTGCAAAACTGTCACTCCTAACTGTGGGATTCGAGACCATCCTTCAAATATCTACAAAGTGGAGGTAAGACATGGTCATACATTTTTTTTTTTTTTTTTTTTTTTTTTCTTTTGAGTAGTCCTACCAGGATGATGCCTACAGCTAGAGGCATCATCCTGGTATCATCTTTTTCAGCTGGCAGTTGGCTTTCATGTAAAAACAATCCTAGTAGCTGATTAGCTGCTGGATTGCTTTTGCAAGCAGCAGGAAGGGAAATTCCAACAAACACCACATTTCCCCCTCCCCCCCTTTCCCCCTCCCCCCTTTCCCCCTCCCCCCTTTCCCTTTCCCCCTTCTCCCCCCTTTCCCCCTTCTCCCCCCTTTCCCCCTTCCCCCCCTTCTCCCCCCTTCTCCCCCCTTCTCCCCCCTTTCCCCCTTCTCCCCCCTTTCCCCCTTCTCCCCCCTTTCCCCCTTTCCCCCTCCCCCCCTTTCCCCCTCCCCCCTTTCCCCCCTTTCCCCCTCCCCCCTTCTCCCCCCTTTCCCCCCCTCCCCCTCCTCCCCCTCCCCCCTTCTCCCCCCTTTCCCCCCCCCTTCTCCCCTTCCTCCCCCCCCCCCCCCTTCCCCCTTCCCCCTTCCCCCTTCTCTCCCCCCCTTCCCCCTTCCCCCTTCTCCCCCCTTTCCCCTTCTCCCCCCTTTCCCCCCCCTCTCCCCTTCTCCCCCTTCTCCCCCCTTTCCCCCCTCTCCCCTTCTCCCCCCTTCTCCCCCCTTTCCCCCTCTCCCCTTCTCCCCCCTTTCCCCCTCTCCCCTTCTCCCCCCCCTTTCCCCCTCTCCCCTTCTCCCCCCCTTTCTCCCCCCTCCCCCCTCTCCCCCCTTTCCCCCTCCCCCCCTCTCCCCCCCTTTCTCCCCCCCCCCTTCTCCCCCCTTTCTCCCCCTTTCCCCCCTCCCCCCTTCCCCCCCTTCCAGCTGCTGCAAAACTGTCACTCCTAACTGTGGGATTCGAGACCATCCTTCAAATATCTACAAAGTGGAGGTAAGACATGGTCATACATTTTTTTTTTTTTTTTTTTTTTTTTTTTGAGTAGTCCTACCAGGATGATGCCTACAGCTAGAGGCATCATCCTGGTATCATCTTTTTCAGCTGGCAGTTGGCTTTCATGTAAAAACAATCCTAGTAGCTGATTAGCTGCTGGATCACTTTTGCAAGCAGCAGGAAGGGAAATTCCAACAAACACCACATTTCCCCTTTCCCCCTTCTCCCCCCCTTCCCCCTTCTCCCCCCTTTCCCCCTTCTCCCCCCTTTCCCCCTTCTCCCCCCTTTCCCCCTCCCCCCTTCTCCCCCCTTTCCCCCTCCCCCCTTTCCCCCCTTTCCCCCTCCCCCTTCTCCCCCCTTTCCCCCTCCCCCCCTCCCCCCCCTTCTCCCCCCTCCCCCCCCTTCTCCCCCCTCCCCCCCCCCCCCCCCCCCCTTCTCCCCCCTTTCCCCCTCTCTCCCTTCTCCCCCCTTTCCCCCTCTCCCCTTCTCCCCCTCCCCCCTTCTCCCCCCTTTCTCCCCCTCCCCCCTTCTCCCCCCTTTCTCCCCCTCCCCCCTTCTCCCCCCTTTCTCCCCCTCCCCCCTTCTCCCCCCTTTCTCCCCCTCCCCCCTTCTCCCCCCTTTCTCCCCCCTCCCCCCTTCTCCCCCCTTTCTCCCCCTCCCCCCCCTTCCCCCCCCCCCTTCCCCCCCTTCCACCTCTCCTTTCCACGCTACTCACCCCCCCCTTCCCCCCTCCTCCTTTCCCCCCAGTCGCTGTGAAGCCCACCCCCTTGGTTTTTTCTCTCTGAACACAGGAGAGAGATTAATTGTATCGCCCTCGCTGCAGTCTTCTAGGTCTTGTGATGAGTGACTGCCCTGCTGCATAGTAGCCATTCACAGAACACCTTGCATTGTTCTCAATAAATGCAAAGCATTTTCTGATTGGATGAGGTGGTGATCCTGATGCTGCTGCTCATGCTTTTTGCCTCATCCAATCACAGATAATTAAAAGTGAGGCAGTCACACTGTGCTCTGTATTAGAACCTTGTACACCATATGCTACTTATAAAGATTCACTATACATTCACCCCCAAATTCTCATATTAATTATACATTTGCCATAATATGAATGGGGTAAATGTGTGATGAATGTCAGTGTATTTAGAATACATGTTTTTTTTAAATGCTAATTTTATTTATTTTATTCAAGGGTGGCTGCATCACCAAACTGGAATCCTTCATCCGATCTCACCTGCTTATTATTGGTGCAGTGGGCTTAGGTATTGCCTCTGTACAGGTAAGTTTAGCAGAAATAACGCTAGAATTGACAACTCCTATCATTTTTAAAGTACTTATCCTGCCGTAATAGACATAGACTTTCAGTCAAGGTCGGATGTTCACACTTAGTTTTTTTCAGATCAGTGAACAGACCCCCTGCTGAAATGGAGCAGAGCTAAATAGATGTCACTTATTCTTTTTTCTTGTGTTTTGTCCCCCCCTTAAAGTTTTATCTGCTCCCTTATTATCATGCTCCCACTAGTGCCTACATTGATTTCTGGCCCTGGAGGTTGTACCACTATTTCTGTAAGTACCACCCCTGGAGACAGATAGGCCTGTCGTGTGAGAGTACCTTTTATTCAGATAACATTTGCTGTCACTCAGTGGAGCAGGCAGACTCTTTTATGTAATGTCTCTTCTGCAATAAAATATGCCTACCTGCCTGCTCGCAACGTTCTCCAGAATGTAAACTGAGCTACACATGTGCTGCTAGGCTTCTAGTGCCAGCCTGATCCCTGTGTGCCAAAGATGACTGGCTTCTGCGTATGCACAGGATTAGCATCATTCTTTGCTGGCCAATGAAGACGGCCAAAAAGTGGTACACATAGGAAGATGCTGGCACTGGCGAGGAATGTGAATCATTGGAGGAAAGGCAAGTTTTATCTCCCTTTAGTTCCGCTTTAAGGCACTTCATGAAAAAGTGGGGTGTTACCAGATCAGACCAGTTTCTTACATTTGTTTCAAACCCACTTGGAAAAAATATCATTTTGTTTAGGGACAAGGTTACTGTGGATAACTTCATTTTTTGTTCACATTGTCACATCAAATTTTGGATTCTTCCTACTTTTGTAACAATATTTTCTTTCTTTAGCTATTTGGAATGATCTTCACCTGCTGTTTGTACAAAAGTTTAAAGTCCGAGCCGTACTAAGATGGTTTTGGACTCCGTTGCACTTCATCTACTCACAAAACATCATCTGCTGCCTTAATAAGCTCCCTGGAACCTAGAATGAGTTCAAGACATGTTCTGAACATGACATAATCTGCTTTCTACATGTAAAAAGATTGGAGCTTCTCCGTGTCATCACAGCATGACATCATTCTTTTACTTTGCTTTCATCCGTGTCTTTGTGCCAAGCAATGAAGTACATCCACTGTGCTCCAGGATGCTCATGTGTTACCAGCTTCTTGGTCTTGACTAAATGTGTTGATCTTGTGTATGAAGAACAGCCAATGGGGCACTCCTTTAATTCCTCCAAGTAATGCAATTAGAACTTTTTTACTGTGTTCAGAATGTTCTGACATCCCTTACGTTTTATTCCTGCAAACAGTTTTGCTTTTAAACCAAATGGCTCTGCGAAGGAGAACCTGTGTACATGGATTTTGGCATTATTCAGACATGTATAACTTATGAAGCATGCAGTACTAATGATTTATATATATTGGTGCCATTTATAGCAAGTGTAAAAATGATGTAACTTCATGCTGATTTAGTCACTTACCATGGAAAATATGTGCCTTTTTATTGAAGGGAAAAATATCAAGCAGCCAAATGACATGTCATTCCTGACGGTTTGATTATTTGCCACAGTAACCATTTGCCTTTTTTTTTTTTTTTTTTTTTAAATATAGAAGTCAAAAGCTTATCATGGAAAACAACCAGATTAATGTGTGATCTTTGGTTGTTCATCACCTTAAAGTGTCTGTCAAGGGGAAAACGCATTCAGAGCATGTTTGAAATACATGCACATTTCCACGGTTTTATATCCCTTTAAATGTGTGCAAGTACAGAAAAATAACTGTTGATGTGCGACAAATGTAGTGTGCCCTTACCTTCCTCCTTGACATGACAACACAGCTCTGTAGTCCTAAGACCGTGGTGTCAGCCTTGCCTACTTAATTTCTGATGAATTACAAAGAAAACAGACCCCTCCTCCTCATCTCCATAACCCTTCCTTCTGTACAGGCAGAGAGCGCAAGAAGTTATCCGTTCAGAGTTTTCAGCAAAATCAACACTTATTAAACGGATATAACAACACACTTTACATGGTATATTTAGCAGAACAAAGGGAAAGGAAATGGGAGTAGTGCATTGCATTGGTTTTGAATACACTGTAATCAATTTGTATTCTTTTCATGAAGGTAACTAGCATTTTTTTTACTTGGATAGAGTAAAAAAGCTTCAGCAACACTAAGGGGTCTGTGTGTATAAAAAAAAAAAAAATGCTGTATGAATGTGTCAATTATTTGCACCTGTGCAATGAATCTTCACTGCAATTTGCTTCTTTTTATTTCTTATTTCCTAGGATTGTCACTTCATCTCGTGGCAATAAGTTGGTGTTTTTCCTGAAATACCTCAATCTGAAAATATACCACATCATTTCCACTAGATATGGCGCTTATGATCCTAAGAAATATATTACTCAAATTATGGTGGAGATTTGTTGAATGATTTACATATGTGCACAGCAGATTTTTATTATACGCAGATTTCTAATTGTCTAAGAGTACCCAATGGGCATTCTGTCACTGTTTTATTATTTATAACTTTTTAATTCTGTCTTTATATTTCTGAGAGTGTATTTTATTTTAGCAATGAAGATGACTGGCTAAATGTTTTCAAATTTACATTTCTGCAGCATAATGAGGATTACAGATTAGGAAGCCTGCTGTTTGCAGCAGCATTTCATTTCCCTTTAAGTGGTTAGACAGCCTAAACATTGTTTCTATCTATCTTATCTATTCAGTCATATCCGACCCTTGGCGATTTGCATGGACCGTCACTCGCAAGCGACTTCTTCCATGAATTCTCTTAGCAATTATTTTACAGGTTAGGTTGCCAGGTCTTTCCCCAACCCCTACCATGCAGGAGATCCCGCATGGCCAGGGATGAAACTAGGACAATTTAGACAGGAGCCGATTAACCTACCAGCATGTCTTTGTAGTGTGGGAGGAAACCGGAGTACTGGGAGGAAACGGGAGTACCCGGAGGAAACCCACACGAACACAGGGAGAACATGCAAACTCCATGCAGGAGGTGCCATGGTTAGGAATCGAACCCATGACCCATTTACTGCAAGGCAGAAGTGCAAACCACTAAGCTACTGTACCGCCCAAACACTTTATCTTTATGCATTCCTTGCATTAAGGTAACAAATGTTTAGGCATCAGTATCGCCCCCTCACCCCCCCCCCTTTTACTTAGCTGAGCCCTCATTTGATCCAGTACTGTGCCCATCTGCAGCTCTTCTCTTCCCTCATTTCCTGGTCTCGCTGGATTTGTGAATGCAGCAGGCACTATTGGCTGCTGCTATCAGTCAATGCCAGTGACAAGGGAGTAGGTGTGGGGCTGAGTCCCACTGTCTGTATGTATAGATGCAGGCAGCGGGGCTTGGGAGCGAGCCTGCATGAGTTCCCCCATAGGAAGCGGCTTTCTATGGGGCACTCACTGGAGCGGAGGAGAACCGATGGGACTGAAGAAAAGGAGGTTGCAAGTATCTGTTTAAAACTAAAAGTTATTGTAAATTCATTTTTTTTAAACTAAAATATTTGCAGTTCTTATATGCCTCATGACTCTGATATAAAATTGCTGCACATGTTTTTAACCTTTTTAATTTTTTTTTTTTGCATAATCCAATTTATGGCTATGAATGTTTTAATTGCTGCATAGCATTCATTTAAACGTTGAAAGCATGGATTATAGGCGTAGTTGCTAATCTTGCTGAGTGATGGTGAAGGGGTCCTGTCCCAGAGCACCATTGTTGGTTCCCAGTGAACTGACATGCGTATTCTTCCATAATTATTGGTTCAACACAGTAAATTATGGAGCTCAGAAGACATGCTGCATCTTTTTGATGTCTTCTGTTTCTGGGAAACAAATCGTATAAAGATATTGAAATTACAATGTACATTTTTTTGTTTGTTTTGTTTTTTTTTTAAATGAAGTCTGAATGTCACTGAAAAGAAGCCATTTTGTGGCAAGGGGAACTGAGATCTTTGCCAGGTAATTAAGTTAATTTGCCTATACACACTGTACGCTTTCATCTAACATTGATTTTGGCAAGAGGAGGACAAAGTCTTTAGCACTGCTGTGCTAACAGAGTATCATTAGGATAGGCCTGTCATTGTTTGTGTGTGTTTTTTTTTTTGGTTTTTTTTTTTTGCTATTCCAGTTTAAATCAAATGGTATTTAACCATCTGCAAAGCACTCCAGTGACATCTGTACTCCAGTGGGTTTATTTAATGAGACAAAAAGCAGTGTGGTGCACTCACAGTGAAAACAGCCTTTTATTGTTAGGTCTGTGAATGGCTTTGTTAATGTTTGAATTCATCGTCTTATCTAATTTTCTCTTTAGTTTCTGCTTCCTCCAAAAGATATTTAAATATTGTGGCCCCTAGGCTAGGACATATTTCAAGGATTGACCTGGCAAATCGCTTAGTTTCAGAGGATCCTGCCAGCAATCAATCTTATGTTCATAATTTCTGTTAGGAAAATGATGTTCAGGGGGCTTCATGCCCCGTCAATGGTAAAATATTAGCTTCTGTTTGAGATTTGTAACCCCTCTCCCTGCTACTTAATTTTTCTTGGCTTTATTTATATATTCATTGGGGCCTACAGGACGTTGCCAGTGTTGACAAGTATGCCCTACAGGTAGGTGATGGGAAATATTGCCTATTATAGAGAGCTGTGGAGTATTGATTGTGTCTTATACAGCGTTTGTTTAGGGAGACATGTACCTGTTACAGGAGCATCATAAGGTCACCATTTGCAACCCCCCTTCATGTTTCTGTTATTACTGTTTGCTTTTAAAGTGCTTTTACAGGCACCATCCAATAAGTGCACCTTATTTCATTTCATCATGTTCAGCAGTTAAACAAGGGACAGCTTGTCTTCATCCTGCGACATGCACCACCAGAGAACATTTTATAGGGAGTTCACATAAGAAACATTGGAACACTATATAAGATACACATTTAAAGGCCTTTACATGAAAGATTCTGGTATGTAATGGTCGGTGCATACACATTTGTAGTGCCAGTCATGTTTGATATTCTGTAGTATTAATGATTTCCAGTCATTTATATACTGTTTTATTGACTTATTAAAGTGACACCATGTACTGTTTTTCTGTGTGTATATTATAAATGAGTTTCATGTGTATATTACAAATTTGCTTCTTGTATGGAAGTGTCTAAGAACTACTATATCCGTGTTACCCATCATAACTAGTCTAATTCTCACTTTCATGTTTATAGTGTAGGTTAGAAAAGGAGAGAATGGTTGTCAGAGGCACAGACCCCATGGGGAAGATTTACTAAAACTGGTGCACTCAGAAGCTGATTGGTTACTATGCACAGCTGCACCAGATTCTGAGTGCACCAGTTTTAGTAAATCTACCCCACATCGCTAAGACATATTGTATATTTGTTTGCGTTATATATATATATATATATATATATATATATATATATATATATATATAATATATATATATATATATTAATTTTTTTTTTTTTTTTTTTTTTAATTATTGCCTACAAAACTACTGAAATATATGAAACAAAAACTACTGAACCCAGCGGGTTTGTTTCTAGATCACAATTAACTGTCAATGTTTTATTAGGACTGTGTCTTCATAATGTATTGTGTATTTTATAAATTACTTGTTTTATCTGAATCATGACCATCACCCTATTTTTTGGTATTTTGCAGCTTACACGTAGTTATAGACACACAGATTATAGCTGTATACATACACTATACACACAGCCTATGCAGCTTTCTGATCTAAAGACATCCACACATAGGGAGATTGGAACATGGTTTCATCAGTTCAGTCATATTATCTCAACGTCTAACTTTCAGTGGATTGTTGGTCAAGGGGCTCAAAAGTCTTGTGTTAAAATGGTATGAAGAATACTTTCTCAGCTG